ACCTTGCCGCATTGCAGTGGAAGGTCATATATACTGTAGAGGATTATTAAGGTATTGCCCAGGCCACTGCTGGCAGGTAATCGAGGATTATTAAGGTATTGCTCAGGCCAATGCTCGCAGAAGAAGGCGCTCTTACAACAGATTTCGAGGCAGGGTATTTTTGTTGTGGCCCTACACTTACTTTCAATGCTGCCCAAAGCATCTTGGAAGGGGGTAAGGAATACCCACAATTGACCCCACTGCAACGTAAACCTGGCCGATTGGCTTCACCGTGGTGCGTCCACATTATTATAAACCTACTGCTGGGAGTGCAAGGGAGGCATTGAAGAGAATTGCCACCCATTGCTTCAATTGCTGGGTCAGGATGGAGGAGGGATGGGTTCAAACCGGTGATGTTGAACGTCTTTAATTGGAGGTGTGGGGGGAAGGACAACAAACTAAACACAAAGATATATATTTTTAAAGAAATTAGTTTGTCAATCTCGATGATATGAAAGTGCAAAGCTCCCAGTGGTTTCCTAATACTGGAAGAGCGTTCCAGATGGCCGCAGAAACGCATCCGAAAGTGCGTGATGGGGTGTGCCAGTCCATGGGTTCGTCCGATGAGTCTATGGGTTTCTGTGTAATTCTATAGGTCTCTATGCATGTATGTTGAACTTATGTTTGTACCGTACGTAGCCAATCGGAGGTACGGGGGAAGGACAAACAAACTCTGTGCTGTATGTCAAGCGTGTGCTCACCATCGAACCACCGCAGCATCCCCCAGATAAGGCACAGTACAGTACTGTATACCACACGCATCTATTTGGAGATGCTGTTGCTGCGTTGTCAGTGGTGGATAAGCACAAATGACAACAAAAATCAACACACTCGTTCATAACACCGTGGCCTTAAGAGGAAAATATACTTATACACAATAACCGACGATGCAGGTAATATCCCTTCCCCATCGCACATAAATCAATGATGGACGGGTATATACGCGCTATTAGAGAAGGGATATTCCCCAAAACGTCACCTATTATACATTTTAAGGCCACACACAGTGTTATTGATTAATGTGTTGAGGGGTTTGTATATTATGCTAGTACTTGATTTGAAGCTTTTGTGACTGCAGGAATCCATACTCTTTGTCTTTTTTTCGGTAAAGTCACGTCGGTAGAAAAATTAATAGATCCCGACGTTTCGAACGCAACACATGCAACCGTCATCAGGTGTGAAACAAAGACAGCAGGAGGACTGCTGATGTAGCTGTTCTCCTGCTGTGTATTCAAATGTTCATTCATTTAAACATTTTTACCAGCTGACAGCCAACGTCACACATTCAACGCACAACTATTATTATGCTGGCATCAAATCAATCTTTGCCATGCAGCAACATTCACTTGATGTAAAATACTCTGTTGTCGTTAATGACGTGATCCTAGGAGGCTTCGAGGTGGTGGCAAACTCTGACTGCTCATGGAATGTTCCCATCTGCCCCCCCTCTCTACTAGACATCTGTAAAAAATAGCTTTAGAGCTCATCGGATTCATCCGGTACAAATAAATATTCGGATTCTGATGAGCAAACTGTGTCAGAGCACCGAGCCAGCACTGCTGGTAGTATATGGGTTTGAGTCCGGGTTTAAGCCAATCCATCCATAAACCAAACAGAATAATTTGGTGATGCTGCTGCTAGTGCTGCTACATTGGCAGTGGTCCACAAACACGATTAACAACCACCACAACAACGTTCTTCAATAACGCTGTGGCCTTGGAAAGAAAAAAGTATATTAAGAGGCGACAGTTTTTGGACAATGGACCTTTTACTCACTCCCCTGGGCTTTCCGTGAGCTCTGAAGGAGAACCACTGCCCGAAACGTCGCCTCTTGTACATTAGCACCATTGCCTACGTACTGTGCGAAAAAAAATCAGCATGTATATTTTTTCTTTTACGCGGTGTTACTGTTCAGTTTTTCACGATCAAACCAGATTCTTTATCAGGTGTATCGGAGTTGATGGTTTTAGACCGGCTACCAATGTCCACACAACAAACCGCCGTGATGAGACTTGGTTCACATTTATAGTATAAATGCTGCCCACTACACAGTACGACCTTGGCATCTATGCTTTTAAAAGACGTAGACCAACCATGAGGGTGTTTATTTCTGTCCTCAATTGGCAGCCAGTTTTGCTTGTTAGATAGGAATTTGTAAGCCACACCTACAATGCATAGGAGTGCATGTTAATCAAAATACTGCAATGCGGCTGGGTAGGCAGATGTAAGGAACTGTTATATTGCACCATGCGTACAGATTTAAACAGTACGTTAAATACATTGGATACAATTATAGTAAAGTGTACGTGTCAAACTACACATTTCCCTTGTACACACTCGGAATAGTATATGGGTTTCATATTTCATGTGCAGCGTTACTGTATTACAGTTTATACAATCTGGAGAGGTGTGTTTGGAATTACATGAAATTGACTTAATATTAAGTAGAACATATTGCTACAAGGGGTGGGCTCCAGACAGGGATGATGGTTCCAGCCACGTGTTTACTGAGATGACATCCTCAGGTGAGATCACATCCCAGAGGATGTCCCCTGCGGAGATGGATTGTGACATCGTAAGGACTGTGAGATGATAAATGCTTGGGGAGGCCTTCAACTAGCAGCGGATAAGACAACGGCTCATTATGATGAAAACAGCATGAGGCCTTCATCAAGCAGTGGATAAACCATGCCTGCTGATTATTATGATAGAGTAGTACTTGTATGTTGTTGTGCGTGTCTGGTGAGTGGTGATGCAGCGGAGAGCGCGCTGCGCAAAGAACCCAACAATCCAGGTTGGATTACCGCTCCTGGGCCTTTCGTCGATTCAGCCTCAAAATGTGTACCTGGCGCGGTGTGTACACATCGCCACTAGGGAGACAAAGGCGGTCGGGCGTGGTGCTGCCCACCCACCCCCTCGTGTGCCGTGCCGGCCTTCATAGGTGCTCACAAACTGCACTTGCCCCAAGAGTCTGTTAAAGGCAATCACGGGTGATCTTTGTCTGGTCTAGCAATTGTTTGCATGGAAATGACCAAAGCGTGCTCCATTTGCTGTGCAGGGGACATTAAATACTATGACGTCATCATAAATGGGGTGTCGCCCATTGTGTGCCTTTGACGTCATATTCTTAATATGCACAGCCCAAATTTTGAAGTCAATGAAAACAGGCGGCGGCCACGTGGCTAGACCCCAAGGAACAGCTAATGAACATTGCTGTACTGTATGGCTATGTTCCGACGTCTATGCTCTCTGCCTTCAACCCGCACCGGACCCAGGAGTGGTGAAGTATGGCGTTAAATAACCCCGACGACCCAGCACGGTGTGTATGGAGGCCGTCATCCAGCAGTGGACTGACAAAAATACCTATTGTACTGTAACAAATGTAACATCGGACATGGTATCCCGTCCAAATGCAATCGAGTGAAGGATCTCCACTTGTAAAATACTGACGCAAGAGTGAACAAATCTAAGACATCAATGTTTAAAAAAACGTGACACTTCATGACGCTCATTCACAGCCCTCTGTCAATCTACTGCCTGACCATACTTCACCACCCTGGCCAATGCGGGTTGAAGGCGGGCTAACCCAGAGCCGGTTCAGATATCACTCGCCACTGACGCTAGCCGTGACAAGGAATCGAACTCGGGTCGCTAGGTTAATAGCGCAGTGCGTCAACCACTGTGCCACCACTCCCCTTTCCCCAAAACATAACGGGTATTACCGCAGTAATACAATCATACAAATTAGAGACGGAAATTCTTAGTGTTATTATTGAAAAAAAAACACGACTACATACTCCGATGGTGAAGGTGAAATAGTATTCGTGTAAGTCTGACGCCGAAAACCAATCGAATTTAACCATGAGCTCAACAAATGTGAGCGATGGATGTGTGCAGCAGCAACCATCAAAATAACCATCAGCGCCGATCAATCCACTGCTGGATGAAGGTCCCCCCCCCATTCTGCACCCCCCCCATTCTGCACCCCCCCCCCCCCATTCTGCACCCCCCCCATTCTGCACCCCCCCCCATTTTGCACCGCCCCCCCCATTCTGCACCCTCTCCCCCCCCCCCCCCCATTCTGCACCGCCCTACTAAAATGCTCTGCACCCAAGGCATGGATGGCCACGCAGCGGAGTAACGAATTTTTTGTGTGCAGCAAGGAAATCAGCATCTGGCATCCACCATCATCATCACCACCACCACCACTAGTCATCACCACCGTTTTTACCACCATCACCACCACTATCATCATCACCACCACCACCACTAGTCATCACCACCGTTATTACCACCATCACCACCACCACCATCATCACCACTAGTCATCACCACCGTTATTACCACCATCACCACCACTATCATCATCACCACCACCACTAGTCATCACCACCGTTATTACCACCATCACCACCACCATCATCATCACCACCACTAGTCATCACCACCGTTATTACCACCATCACCACCACCATCATCATCACCACCACTAGTCATCACCACCGTTATTACCACCATCACCACCACCATCATCATCACCACCACCACTAGTCATCACCACCGTTATTACCACCATCACCACCATCACCGCCACTATCATCACCACGACCATCACCACCGTCACTACCACGCCCCATCACCACCACCGCCAACTACGCCACATCATCCTCACTCCTCCACACAAACCTGTCCAATTCCATCCGTCCCCAGTGAATAGAACACGACAAACATCATCTGCTCGCGCGGACTCTTGCTAGGGTTCCGTCGTCGTCAATATTTTAATTGCTTTGTTCAACACATCCCCGTAGAAGGCAGTCTCGTCACGCTTGCCTGCCACCACGACGAAGCGAATGAAGGACATTTTTATCTCGACTGCTGTTACACTCAACTCCTAATCCTGCAATTTATTAAGACAATGTGTGTGTGTAAATATAAACAAGAGGAATATGATTTGGACTCACCCATTGTAGGACCTTGATAAAACCCAAGGGTTCTTTGATGATTCGAAAACGACCCTGAGCCACTAACTATACAATTAAAGACACAAGGCAAAAAACACAGATAACAGTAGTTAGCATATAATAGTCCAATAAATGTGTGCACTGTACACATTAAAATCTACAACGATCCAATTCGGTGGTTTACGTCGCTACAATTATTAGCGTGAATCGATAACATTTTTTTAATCATCTGCAACCATCCAAGAGAAATATAGAACCGATTGCGCTAAGTAAACATTGCATGTTGTAATATCGAATAAGGAAACCAATGCGTGTCATAATATTGATGATTATTGGTCTTGCAGATATAAGAAAAAAAAGATCTGCATCGACGTTGTCAAACATCACGTGGTAATTTGTGTCGCTTAGCCTTAGTATACGTGATCAAAAAAAAATTCAACAGCCATTCAATATCTTTAGACTGGCCAAAGGATCCTCTCTCCGTAGCTACAATGAACGGCGCTGCATTGTGTCACCATCTCACATACGAACACATCTATCGAGCGGACAATAACATTTTTTAAAATCTAAAAACACCGTACAATATTAATCCAACCACTGGCTAGAGCTTCCATACGCACGCACACATGTAAGTATATTAAACCTGCAGCAACGCAGCACATTTGCGGTAACATCACAGAAACGACCGCTGACACTACTGCTGTTACACAAAAACCGAATCCTATTTTCCAACCATCCCTCGTCATCCTCTCTGCCTCAGCTTTTCTCTTTCCTTCCACGCGTTACATTTGCTGCGACTGTATCGCACGGAACCATCGAATCCCACCTGATTCACATCCATAGCTGCTGGTTGTTGTTGTTGCTGCTGCTGCAGTGGGTGGCTGTGTGGGCAGTGTGCGCGCTTCGTGTGTATGAGGACGCTGCTGTCTCGAATTCGCCACCGCTTCGTCGCCCTAATCCGCCCTCAAAACCACCCCACCCCTGTCGCCCGTGCGCTGGATGCCAAATTCTTATCGCTCGGTTTTTTTTATTTTCCCAACGTCACCACGGAAGCCTTGCCTCGACGCCCTACCCCTTCCTCCCTCCCTCCCTACAGCCCGGCGTGCATCCGTCGGCACAAACACAGCGAGCGAGCGAGCGGGCAGCCATCCGCTTGTGACGTCGGTAGAGGCGATTTAATTCCCACGTGGGTCCCCACTGTGATGGAGGGAGAGGGGGTGGGTTCACCACTCGTTTTACGCGGAGGGGGGTTGCGTTCTTGAAAGACTCACGGCGTAACTCGCTAGATCGCGTAAGTTAAAAGGTAAAATATAAAAGGTAAATATAAAAGGTAAAATGTTCACCATAAGAAGTAAAGGAAATGGTTTGGGGGGGGGGGTTGGGAGAGCACGCTTTGGAACCTCACTCTTACGTCTACACATTTCACTGGTTAAAGTAACATTTACAATACTACCATACACGTATTCGAGATAGTAACACACACCTGTCAACCCATACGGTTTACCCGTGTTCTTGTACAGGGAATTTGAGTTTTCAGGTCCATACGGCGTACAGCCGTTTAAAAAACTTTTTTTACGGGCAATTTTTGTTGTCTATTTTTTGTGTTTCTCCCATATGATAAGGAGCCATCCATAAATGACGTCACGCACCCAGGAGGGGGGGAGGGGTCAGACATTTGTGACGATGTGTGACGAGGGGGGGGGTGAGAAATGTGACGTCACATGAAAATACGCAACTTTAAATAAATATAGACAACACGTTCTACTTAATTAAATAGATTTTATAATAAATATTTTCTCCTACAACATCAGAGTGCAGCGCCACATTAAATACGAACTACCATGACAATAGTTTAAAGCGATTTGAAGCATGTTTTTTTATTGGGGGGGGGGGGCATAGCTTTGTGACGTCATATTTGAGGGGGGGTCTGACTTTTGTGACGCCGTGTGACGATGGGGGGGGGGGGGGGGTCAAAAATCGTCCAAAATCGCGTGACGTCATTTATGGACGGCCCCTAAGAGTTTGCAGGATGAACGTTGAGATTTATAAGGGCATGGGGTGACCAATAAGGTCTGAATTGGTCTGTAATACGGTAGACACTCATAAGGGGTTTACAGGTATGGTAACAGCCTACTTAAATAAATGTAAAGGAGAGCGGACACAAGGGGGGTTGCAGGGGGTCCGGTGTTTATTCCTTTGTTGTCATCCACACGTCTCTCCAGCCGTCTCTCAATCTCTCTCCCGCCCAAGGCCCCTTCTTCCTGCCAGTTCTCTCCTTATATCTCCTCGATTACCCCTCCCCCTTCTCCTGTCACCGTCCCACCAGCCCTCCTATTGGTGGGAATCCTTCCCCTGACACCCCTACATAAATATAGTAAGTAAATAAAGTGAAACTCAAATATTTTTTTTAACACGTCGTGAGCTGCTTCCTGGACTTTGGTAGGCAAATGTGTGCACAAGACAAGGGGCAGGCGGACCAGGTCTTCAAAATGGCACGCGACAAGGAGATGCCGACTGATGCAGCTGCCCGCGCTTGTGGTTGTTGCCGCTGCACCTCGGGAAGCACCGCTGCTGAACGCGTTCCGCACACACCGTGGCCAACGTGCTGGGGCACGTTACTTCAACAATAGTGGGCGCATAACAACAAAATGAAACTATATTAATGTAACGCGCCATTTAAACATCGCATCACGGAAACGTGCGTAAGACGCGAGGCGACTGTCCACCCCCCCCACCCCACCCCGGTTAACGTCGGGAGGGTGGAGGGGGGGGGAATGCGTTCCTGAAAGGTGTGACGACGACGCATATCGAAACGACGTCAAAGCGATGCACAGGGTACGGTGGTGGAGGCGAAGGCTGAGAGAGGCGGCGGATAACGAGAAAGGACGGACGACGATGCTGTCGGCGACGTGTGGGGTTGAGGCGACGCAAATCAGGTAGCGGCGTTAATAATGTGACGACGTGTTTGCGAAACTACACCAAAAGGGCGAGACGTTAATGCTACTGTACATCTATTGTATAAGCCCGGTGTTCCGTTTGTCTGTCAACTAAATTAAAAGAGCCTTTCAGAAGGCCTGAGTCAAAAAGTTATAGAAAGTGGAACCACCACCAGATGTGGGGGTAAAAAGTTGATCCAACAGGTTTACAAAAATTGTCGACACCCCATCCAAAAAAAATACATTTTGTTGGCATATATGCCTATGCACCCTACATACAGAATAGAGTCAGCAGTATCGACAATAGAGTCGGTAGTATCGACATTTTAGTCGGTAGTATCTGCACACATGGGGAGGGGGGGGGGAAGAGGACATCAGTGGGGGCGACGGGGGAGGCCATAGGCTGCCAAAATTCTCGTTGAATAAAATTGGACAGCCAATCAAATTACTGAGCAGCAAAAGATGGACCCAATTTCAAAGCAGTATATTTCACGATGGCAACATGTTACAATTACATAAAAAAGTTACAAACGGTTTCACGAGTTATAAACTTTTACTAACCATTTTATAAATGCTCTATGTGCCCTCCACCTGCTGTACGGACAACATCGAGACGATAGTTGAATTCGTCCCAAACGCCTCTCAAAGTGAAGTCTTCTTCCACTGAAGTCACCGCTGCCGTGATTCTGTTTTTGAGGTCATCCAGATTAGTCGCTAATGGTGGCACAAAAACACCACGAGCCTTTGACGTATCCCCACAAGAAAAAGTCGCAGGGTGTGGTGATGTCTGGGGATCTAGGGAGTCAAGAGTGTTGCGCCCAGTCTTGGGGTCCCGTGGGACCTATCCAACGTTGAGGCAGCGTGTCTTGCGAATGACTGAGGATAGGGGCTGTTTGTGCGCTGGGAGAGGCATCGAGCGGTCATCATTTGAAACTCTGTGCCCCACCCTCTCTATGCCCCGCCCTCTCTATGCCCCGCCCTCTCTCTGCCCCGCCCTCTCTATGCCCCGCCCTCTCTATGCCCCACCCTCTCTCTGCCCCGCCCTCTCTATGCCACGCCCTTTCAAGTGGTAAGAGTTTCATTCATGGGCGGTTCGTGGTTGCAGCGATTTCAAATCGGGTCAATCTTTTTTTAAACACCCTGTATACCCTGTATACTCTTTGGGTCTTTCAGAAAAGTCACGTAAATAGAAAATAATAGATCACGACGTTTCGATTGCAACACAGAGAGGAGAAAGAAAGCTTTAAATCAAGATCAGAATACGATTGTACTCACAGAATCAAGGTTAATATAAAAACGGACATCAGAACACCATTGCTAAGTATGCACTCACAGAATGCAGGCTCTGAATCACAGACTAATCCAAGGTTAATCACTGCATCGATTAGTTGCTACGCGATCCATGGATCGAGTAATCCCATTGGTTCGTATCGCGTCAATAGCCTTCCTTGTATGTTTGGCTAATATCTGTGTCGTGGCGTTATTTCACACGAACAACTATTTTTTCTCCTGTCACTTTATTCGAACAGAACTCCTCGCGTTCAACACCACGTGACTCCGTCGCAACTTGCCTGCTCCCTCTCTCTCCTAGTCTCTCCACTGCTAGCCTGCTCTCTCTCACTCTGCTGGTCTCTCCACTGCTAGCCTGTCTCTCTCTATCACTCTCCTAGTCTCTCCACTGCTAGCCTGTCTCTCTCTATCACTCTCCTAGTCTCTCCACTGCTAGCCTGTCTCTCTCTCTCTCCTAGCCTCTCCACTGCTAGCCTGTCTCTCTCTCTCACTCTCCTAGCCTCTCCACTGCTAGCCTGTCTCTCTCACTCTCCTAGTCTCTCCACTGCTAGCCTGTCTCTCTCACTCTCCTAGCCTCTCCACTGCTAGCCTGTCTCTCTCTCACTCTCCTAGTCTCTCCACTGCTAGCCTGTCTCTCTCTCTCACTCTTCTAGCCTCTCCACTGCTAGCCTGCGCTCTCTCTCACTCTCATAGCTTCTCCACTGCTAGCCTGTCTCTCCACTGCTAGCCTGTCTCTCTCACTCTCCTAGTCTCTCCACTGCTAGCCTGTCTCTCTCTATCACTCTCCTAGTCTCTCCACTGCTAGCCTGTCTCTCTCACTCTCCTAGTCTCTCCACTGCTAGCCTGCTCTCTCTCTCACTCTGCTAGCCTCTCCACTGCTAGCCTGCTCTCTTTCTCCTAGCCTCTCCACTGCTAGCCTGTCTCTCTCTTTTTTTACGATCAGAGGAAACACGAAAGATGCTTGGTGTAGTCGGCACTTTGCTCCGTTCATCATTTCGGTTTTTTTTGTTTTTTTATGCTTTGCTTTATGTAGACCCCCCCCCCCCCTTTTTAAATGAAAGACCCAAAATTATTTTTGTTTCCCTTTCCCTCTCTCTCTACTCCCCTCTCTGCCCCCCCCTCTCTCTCTACCCCCTCTCTTCCTACTCCATGTCGCTCTCGCTCTCTCGCTTTTTTATAACTACGACAAGTGCTGCATCTGCACGCAGCCCTCCTCACAGTCAAACGGCCTCCGACGGGTAGCTTATATCTGCACGTAGAGCTCTCCGTCATCTGCCACCGAGCACACGGCCTCCTCCAGCGCCCACTGCTCCTTGAAGGCCGGCATGGCGTGGGTCAGCCGCACATGCCGGAACTCCAGCCCACACACCCTGGCTCCGACCAGAGCGCAGAAGATGCCCAGGCTGCTGGCCGGACGTTTCCCCTCCAGGGCCACCTTCCTCGCCCTGTATATGGCGAGCTTGGCGTAGCCGAAGAGCACGTTGACCAGCCCCTGAAGATGTTGGGGTCTGTCGCCCTTCGGGTATCCAAAGATGAGGACCGTCGGGGAGAAGTGGAGGCTGAACCTTAGGAGGATGTTTCTCAGGACCTTGAACGACGAGTCCAGGCTCTTGCACTCCACGTATTGGTGCGCCACTGTCTCCACTTTACCGCAGAACCTTCTGGTGCCGCCGCAGCGGAGCCGCTCCGTCGGGGCCGTGCCCACCGCCGTGACGCCGCCACCGGAGAGTGACGACGCCGACGCTGCGCCCCCCACATGAATGCACGCCCCACGTAGAGCCGGGAGGGAAGGTCACCTGGCCGACAGGTTTTCATCCAGAAGCCCCTAACGGGATCAAGCTTCATGGTTTCCTGCGGCC